TGCCCGAACAAAGAAGTCTAATTCATTTTTGTTTTGCATCAATATACTAGCCTGACGTCGAACCAATTCCACCAATTCATTTCGACTTTCATCCAATTTGTGCATTAATTCCATTTTATGTTTTTCTATATCACTACACGACATTACTAAAAAAATACCATTTATAGGTGACTATAATAAATTCATACAATATTCAATGACTTACAAAGAGCTTTAGTACAATTTATAAAATTATCAACATTCTCATAATGTGGATTCTCTCGTAAAAATTTCTTTAGTAGTTCTTCATAGCACCCATACTCTCGCACAGTGTTCTTCATCTGTATTGAAAACTCTTTCAAAACTTGAATGTTTTTTCTTGTTGCAGCACTTTTTCTCCTACACTCATTTTGTTCAGTTAATTCATCGTGTAGACTGTTTTCCGCTCTCGTTTCCTTTTCCCGTGATGCTTTCAATATTTTTGTTACCTCAAAGAAACGCTGCCGAAGTCGTTCTTGATCTCTGCGAACTTCCTCCACACGTAAGCAATCAAGCTTTTTCTTCTCTTCATTTAGCTGTAAAACTTCCTTTTGCATAGCCAATGCAATTTCGTATTCTTGAACGCGCTTAGCATAAAGAGACTCAAATGACTCTGTGGTATCATCTTCATTAATAGCTTTTCTAGAAGATAGTTGTCAATAGTAAAACAAATTATTAACTAGTTAAACAGTGATGAAACTTACTTAAAATGTTCTTCATTCTCCTTTGATACAATATATTCTCCAATGGAATTGTATCTTGTTATGGGTCTGCCCAAGTGACCGGTAACACCAAGTTTAGTAGTTGGATGACAACGATACATTTTGTTATGTTATTAACTTTCACAAATTGCTTTTATTGATAAGAACACTTAACTTCCTAAAATGCAACTAGCTTTCTAAGTATTGATATATTTTTTTTCAGTTTAGTTTTAATTCACAACTGGGCTTGTCATTTAATTCTGTAAATGCTTTGTTTTTTGAATTTTTGTTTAAAATAATTTCATTTTAAGTTACAAATGACATATACATACTGCGAACTTGCTATCTAAAATATCTTAGTTAGCTATAATACCTCTCTTTAAAGTGCATCTTAAGCTTTGTTAAAGATTCCTGATGACATATAATTAAAAGAAGATAGCACAATAAGCAATTAATTGCATGACACAATCAGATAATTGAGATAAAAGTCGGAAATACATGTACAGCAATTATATAATTTCTAAAAAATTAAAAATATAAATATAAAAGAATAATAAATCAACTACTTTTGTACCATAAATCTAATTTAATAAACCGAAGTGGTCTATTATTAGCTAACCTAACCAATTGAAATAAGCTACAATTTAGCTTCACTCGTATATGCAACTTATAATTCAAATATTTACTATTTACTCACAACATATTTATTATCTAAAGTAAAATATTTCTGACATAATCCAAATTCTTCAAATGGTTTTAAATTGACGATTGAATTGAATTTTAAATTGAATGCTGTACTTAACCAATTCTTTCCATTTTTCGAGTTGATCTGCCTGAATTCAAAAATATGTGAACATAAGGTTTTATCCCATTCAAAATTAATTAATACGAGTATTCAAAATTAATATCAGAACACTGCTATATGGATTCACCATGATAGGTATATCGGCATCTACTTTACTGTAGTACAAATACCTTAAGAGACTTCATACTGCTAGAAGCAGTATGATCACTATCATACTATCACTATCTTCAAAAATCTGGTATATTTAGCTCGCCAAACCCATCCAGCTTTGTTGACCTATTTTCACTGCGGTGGGAAATATTTTTTTCATGAATCCTTCAAGATAGCGGTACTTTTAGTAAACCTGTATTTCTAATTATTTTCTTTATTCAATTTTACAGATTTTTTTTTTTTTCAATAAATTAAAAAAATCCTGACTAGTTTTACGCAAAATATTTTTTTTATTTGAATCCAATTTAACAGTTAAAAGTTGAAGCTGAAACTATTGAAGTTTTGACTCACCTATATAGAACCTCTCTTATCTAGCTTTGAACTGAAACTAGGAACTGAAACTTTTAACCAAAGTTAATTTTTTTGAATAATGTAAATTCTATTTAAAAAAAAAATTAAAAACTGTGGCAGCACCAAATACAACAGCTAACCTGACAAAATCAGGACGCAACGTTCGCTTTCCAACCAAATTCAGTGACTCCATCACTTAGGGGGGAGTACTGTGGCAGCATTAAAAAAAAAAAAAAAAAAA